CACGAAGAGAAGCCCTGATGTGCCAGCCTCAGATGAAGCTGAGAGACCTCAGGAACACAATGCAAACATTGATTATCTGCTGCTGTGGAATGCAACAGGTGCATCTGTGATTGGTCTCATGTGGTTGTTTCTCATTAATGGCCAATCAAAGCCCAGCTGTCCGGGCTGTCTCAGTAAGTCACAAACCTTTGTTATCATTCTTTTTCTATTCTTAGCTTGGCCAGCCTTCTGATGAAATCCTTTCTTCTATTCTTTTAGTATAGCTTTAATATAACATATATCATAAAATAATAAATCAAGCCTTCCTAAACACGGAGCCAACACTCTCCATGTCTGTTCCCTCGCCCTGGGAGCCCTGTAAGCATCCCCAGACGGTCACAGCCCTGGAGCTGCGGGCCGGGCCAGCAGAGAGCACTGCAGCACAGCCCATGCAGCTCCGGCCCCGGCAGCCAAGGGAAGGCGCAGGAACAGCCCTGGTTAAAGCAAAGCTGTGAGAGCAGAGCGGTGCCCTTGCGGTCTGAGCAGGGCAGGTTATTGGGGCAGAGCTCCTTGAAATAAAGTGCATTTCAACAACACGTTCCTCTCAGCCTGGGAGCCTTATTTGCTTTTCTCTTTGCCCTAAACCTGCTCTGTAAAGCAGGGAGGCTTCCTCATGCATGGCGTGGTGGGGATGAGCTGAGCTGGGTCTGAATCCTTTGAGCCTCAATGGGAAGGAGCTGCTCTTTTCTCCAGCTTCTTTTTAAACTTCATGGATAAACTGGTGAATGAGTTACCCAAGGAGCTCAGTCTCAGGTTCTGCACGTCCTCCTTAACCTGGGAATTCTGGTCCTGGAGACTGCATGGTACCCATTCCTTTAAAAATGGTAAAGAATCATGTAATTAGCCACTGATTAGCATTACTGTTAATTACCCTGTTCAGTGGCACATTTATTTCACAGCTTCAATATCTGTCCCTAAATAATTCCATCCATCCATCTCTTGTATCTCCATCTTTTCCATACAAACCTGCTTTTTCTGGGACACATCCCACCCCCTGCTCAAATCACCATCCCAAACTGACCCCCGGCCAGGATTTGGGTTTTGGGGCTGCATTTCTCCAACCTGAGGGACGTTTCCTCTGAGAGCCCCCCAAGGAGAGGCTTTGGGGCTCCCTTGGCCATCCTGGCTGGAATTGCAGCCTCGCAGCAGCTCACACCCAGAGCTCACCAAGGGGAAGCCAGTTAGGGCCCTAAAAGGGCCTCTCATTAGCCCATTGAAAAACCCAGTGCTAATTATGCAGTTTGAATAGATGTTTACTCCAGGGGTTAATGATGCATCCCTGATGAGCAAAACTTCATTCGGTGCATCTGAGGAGGCTCAGGGTGTGGAGAGGGCTCTGTGCTGCTCTCCCTGCTCAAACCTTTCAGGTTCTGGGGCTGCTCTGCCTCTCCCTGGGGGAATTGGGGTTCCCAGGGCTGAGTCCTGCTGCAGCCAGAGTGACCATGAGAACGCACAGACCTCAGAGTGGCTGCAAAATATTTCCTCCTTGAGCAGAGGACTGGGCACAGGATTGGGCACTGGATGGCTTTGGCAGTGGGGAGGACAATGGAGGATTTTCTGGGACCTGTGGGGATATTGCAGGGCGTGGGCTGGCTCTGTGCTCACCTCCTGCAGCACGTCCTGCCCATGAAATCCCATTTATCAGGGCTTTCCTGGGATCTGAGGGGACCCTGCTGGCTCTGTGCTCACCCCCAGCCCCCTGCAGCCCACCCTGCCCATGAAATCCTGTTTGCCAGCACAAGTTCATTGGAACACGAACAATCTCGGTGCTTGTTTGCTCCTCTGCTCGTGCTGCACAAACCCACCCTCGCTGTTCCCCTCAGGAAAAACCAATTAAAAGAGGAGGAAGAGAAACCCAGACCGTTTTCCCGAGGCCACAGAATTTCTCAGATATCATTTCAAGGTGTTTATTGCAGCCTTTCATCCCCCTCCTGGCTGTTGGGGCTGCATTCCCTGCCTGGCAACAGATGGGATTCCAATTTATTTTTAGCAGTGTGTTTGCTTTGGTTGAACCCTCCAACACCACCCTGGTTTCGGGGCCATGGAGCCCCTCAGGGCTGGCAGGGTGGGAGTTGAGCAGAGCAGCTCCTGGGGTGGGACCAGCCCAGCTTTGGGTGTTTGTTCCCATCCTGGGCTGCTCAGAACCTGCACTGCCACTGAAATGTTAATTTAATCTCACTGGAGGGCCCTCAGTGAGGCTGCAGGAGGGTTCTCAGCCTGACTTCTCCATCAGTGCCACAGAAATGCCCCAGACAGCCCCAAAACAGGCACAATCACCCCTGAGTGCACAGTCCCTGCACAGGACTCAGCTCTTTGCTAAAATCACCCTCTCAGGCACCGGGAGCTGCTTTAGATCCCTCCTTCAGTGCCTCCTCACAAATGGCTTTTAATAATGAAGTGTAATGGAGGAGCTCTGATTGGATTCCTCACTCAGAGGGTTAATGGAGTATTCCCAAATAAGTTACAAAATGTGTTCCTTTGGACCCAGCTCCTTTTGCTTTATCCAAACTAAAATACACTGCTCTCCAGAGAGTTCTTTTTTGAGAATTGACTGGAGATAATTATTTCAGATAATTAAGATCACTGAGCAAAGTAATTTAATTTTCTTCCCTGCCTGTCCCTCCCTCCAAGAAATGTAAATGTCTGTGGAGCAGCAGATCAATAAAAGAACCTTTCCAAAGGTTAACTTGGCCAAGGGTGTTCTTGAGCTGGGAGAGACCAGCATGGAGTGAAATCCAGCAGAGATGCTTGGAAAAGTACTGAGATTTCCAATTAAATGATTCCCCCACCAAGATTGTTTTCTGAGTTTGTTTTTGGATTTGTGTGTTTGGGGTTTGTTGGTTTTTTTTTAATTCTCCATGTTGGCCCAGAGCAGAGCAGGGACAAGGAGCTGAAGCTCTGTGGCCACAGGATTTTATTGAAATCTGCTTGAGATGCAGATGATGAGGGAAAGGTGAATTGTGCTCAGATCAGGAATTCTCTGCAGCAAACTTTGGCAAAGCTGTGCTGGGACAGCAGCACAGAAATGGAACTGTAGGGCTGGATAAGCTGTGAGAGAAAATGGATTTGAGGCTTTACTTTCCTTTTCTGTCTGGTTTTCTGCCTTTTTACCTTCTCTGGAGCCTGGCACAGAGAGCAGGGGTGCTTAGGGGCCCTGGCCTCCCAGCGCCCCAGGTGTTTGTGCAGGGAATTGGTGACATTTGCACAAACCCATCTTTTCTGTGCCCTTACCCTGTAACCGCAGCTCTCAATGCAAGGGGAGAAAGTGCCCGGCCTCTCACCCCAGAGAAACAAACCCAGCCCTGCTGAGCCTTCAGCAGCTTTTGGGATTTCAGCTTGAGCCAGAGCTGAGCCCTGGGCTGTGCCCTGAGCCCGGAGCTGCTCCCAGCTGGGCCAGGCCAGGG